TATATATATATATATATATATATACATTCGCTGCCGTTTGTCCCGCCCTGCCTCCTCGTCGTCGTCCTCCTCCTCCTGCTCCTCCAGTTTCTCGCCGCCCCACTCAGCGGCGACGGGCAATGCCTTGGGCACAGGGCTACGAGAATTTCACCAGAACCACTGGACAACAACATTATTCACTGCGTGGAGCTCCCCATATGTGCATCTAGTCGCATGGACCTGTCCGCCGTGAGTGTCTAGGCGCAAGAGTTTTCGAATATAAGCGGGCGTGAGTTGGGACGGCCTGGTCATGAATCTAACCGCGAATGAATTGCAGTGTGAATGGGTTGCTCCTGGGGCCTCTTGGAACCTCCTGGTGCTTCTTGGGGCCTCCAGGAGCCTCTTGGGGCCTCCTGGGGCCTCTTGGGGCTTCGAGTGGCCTCCTGAGGCCTCCTGGAGCCTCGTGTGGCCTCCTGGGGCCCCCTGGAACTTCCTGGGATCGCCTAGGGAGGATTCGTGCCCCAGGAGAGGCTCAATCTGTAGGAGCAGACGTACATAAAACATGGCGCATTGGAGCCACCGGAGAAAAGGCAACATATAGGAACACGCTTCGAACACCACGGACTCGTGCTCCAGCGGAAGCCCTATCTATGGGAACAGACGTACAATATTTAGGATTGTATACGCAGGAGAAGGACAATCGATAGAAACATATAACATACGTATAATATTAAGGATTCGTGCTCCAGGCGAGGCCCAATATATAGGAGCATACGTAACACACATGGGATTGGAGCCACTTCCGTTGCCTTCTGAGGCCTGCTGCTCCTGGGGCCTCCTGTTGCCTTCTGGGGCCTCCTGGCGCTTCCTGTGGCCTCCTGAGGCCTCCTGTGGCTTCTTGAGGCCTCCTGGAGCTTCCTGGGGCCTCCTGGAGCCTCTGGGGACAGGCTGTGGCCTCTTAGGTCCTCCTGTGGCCTCCTGATGCCTCCTCGGACCTCATGTGGCCTCCTGGGGCCTCCTGGAGCCTGCTGGAGCCTCCTGTGGCATCCTGGGTAGAATCTGTGCCCACGAGTCTGGCCACCAAAACAGGCAAACCGATCGAGACGTCCTCAAAATCTGGCCCCCCTGGGGGGCGAAAGTGAGCGCCTCGCTCGAGACGTTCTCCAAATCTGCTCCGAAAGCGGAGGCTGTTCGCGACCCAAACAGGCAAACCGCCTGAGACATCCCCGCCATTTTGGCGCGAACGGAAGCCACGTGAGATACCCTTGGCGGCCCCCCCTTAGAAGGCGCCTCGCACGAGACATCCTCAAGATCTGCTCCAAAAACGAAGGATGTTCGGAACCAACACAGGCAAACCGCCTGAGACATCCCCCCCATCGTGGCGCGAACGGAGGCCGTGAGATACCCTCTGACCCACCCCCCTTAGGAGGGCAATAGCCAGCAAGCCGCTCGAGACATCCTCATCATCTGCTCATCGTCATCATCATCATCATCATCATCATCATCAGCATCAGCATCAGCATCATCATCATCATCATCATCATCATCATCATCAGCATCATCTTACTCATCCATCTTTCCTCGTCACCATCATACTGTACTCACATCATGCTAGCACCATACCGTGGTCATCATCATGACACTCATCATCGTCGTCTAGTGCAGAGAGGGAGGAGGGAGGGGAATAATGATGATGAGGGGTCCGGCGCGGTCAGAGAATAACAAGAACCCCATCCTTTGGATTTGGGGAACAAAACAAATAGTCTAAAGCGCTGGCGGCCCAGGTGTTAGGAAAACCATTGGAACAACAAAACAGAAAACCCCCCAAACCAATGTTCCATGGAACGGTAGGAGGAGGTGGATGCCGAAGGGGAGGATCGCCCGCTGTGAGGCGGGACTCAGAGGTGGCAGAGTGCCAACGAAACCCTAAGAGAAGCCAAACTAACGATATCCAAAGTGTTGGCGACCGAGACGTTAGGAACACCCTCTGAAACAAAGCAAAAGTCAAGTGGCAACGCCACCCCTATCGAGTCCTCGTCGTTCTCCACACGCATGTTCCTTTGAATATGTTGTTCTTTGTTTTTTGGGGGTTTGTCAGAGGGTTTTCCCAACGTCTCGGCCGCGAGCACTGTGGATTAGTTGTTTGTTTGTTTGTTTGTTTGTCTTAGGGTTTCGTTGGCATTCTGCCACCTCTGGGTCCCGCCTCACAGCGGGCGGTCCTCCCCTTCGGCGCTCACCTCCTCCTACTGTTCCATGGGATATGTTCAGTGTTTGTTGATTTTCCCTCGATTTTCTGAACGTCTGGGCCGCCAGCGCGTTGGATTAAGTATTAGTTTCTTGGTTGTCCAATGATTTTCTCGAAATTTTCGCAATCCTGTGCCCAAGGCTTTACCCATCGCCCCTGAGTGGAGGAAGAAACTGGAGGAGCAGGAGGAGGAGGAGGAGGAAGACGAAGAGGAGGAGGAGGAGGAGGAGGAGGAGGAGGAAGACGGCGCCTGCTAGCACTGCGAGGTGTACGCAATAGATTTTCTCATTCGTCATTGCGACCACCCTGGCGGAACAGGGGCACCCAAACATGGATGCCCCTACATGGGTGCCCCTACGCTATGCATTGTTTTCGGTTCGAGCCGTCGCCCAATACTGCAAGTCCTTTACAAAGGCACCTTGAGACGAGGTGACACGGCGGGACAAGAGCGGGGCAGACGAAGGGGCAACAAGGGACACGATTGGACGCCACGAGGCGCCAACAGGAAACCGAGAACCCAGAGAAGAACTAGAGGGTCGAACGAGGCACGCCACATGCAGCCGGCAACGGTAATCCACAAACGTGGTTACCAATGTTGCGCGCGGATTGCGCGGCCACCACGGGCGCAAGGGGGATCCACAAACCGGATCCCCTTACAACCCTTGCATCCGTAGCTGTTGCGGCTCAAACTCTCGCCTCGTGCACGTTTTTGCGAGCCCTTTACTCCGACGATCGCGCACCGCGCCCCATGTCGGTGTGCGATGACAGGAAGAATTTGACCGAGGGTTAGTTTTGCTGCCCCCTTCACAGGGTGCTTGGTCACGCCCGTCCTTCCGCAAAGTGACACCAAAGCCTTTTGTGAAGTCATGGCCGACGCCAGTGCGCTCGACGATCCCCTCGTGCATCGGATTGGATTCGTCACTGGCCACAGCGAAGAGACCCCACAGGATCTGGAGGCAAAGTACAAGGAGGCTTCCAAGAGCAACAGGTGGCATGATTTGCCCTCCCTAACCTGCAGCACTGCCAGGAGCCATTGCCTGCGGACTTCAGATCTGCATGTTGGACCCAGGGAACGGCGCCAAAGCAATCATCAAGCGCGTCGCCCTCCCAGCTCAGACGAAGATGCGGTGCTAAGTCGTTTCGAAGTTTGCTGTCGGCAGCGTGCGGAAGCTGGTCTTTCAGCATCCCCCGATGTCGGCGTTCCCGTGTGGCAGTTCATGTTTGAGCACACGGGGGCAAACAAATTCGCCAATCTCATCAGTCCCCTGAGATCAAGCAGAAGAGCAAGGCCGATGCGTTTTTCGACATGAGCAATAAGGACATCGACGCTAGATCCGCCGACACCAAGCACGCGCCGCGAACGACTTCCGAGCGCGCCCTGCTGGCGTGGCAGACCAGAGCGCTCAAGCGCGGGGCGCCGTCGCACGGTTGGCCACTTGCTCTGGTGTGCAAGACTTCGCGGGGCGCGTTTGCCGAGGGGGTCCTTGTCAGGAAGGAATGCGAACGCAGCGTCTTCCTCTGCGAGAAGCATGTCAAGCCCTGGTTTCTCAACGCCCTCCAGGAGCGAAGCGACCCATTGGCGCTCGGCCTTGTGGGCAAGCCCAACAGCGGGAAGACCCCCGCGGACAAGCTTACTTGCTTGCTATGTGAGACCGCAGCGCCAGGGTGCGCGGCCTCGACCTCGACGAGGTGCGCGCAATGGTGAAGCCAGAAATTAATCTTGACGCTTCGCGTATCCCCACCAGCCCATCCAGAAACGATCAGCAGGGGTGTCGGTGAATCAGGGGCGGCAGGACGCATGCAGTTGCGCAGCCGTCTTCGGGAAAACAAGGATCACAAGGAGCTTCCCGCATTGAAGTTTAAGATGAAAATCAGTGCAAGCTACGATGATGCTTCTTCGATGAGGGGTGAGGTGTGTCGATGACTCATAATGGCTGCTGCGCCGATTTGTATCTCAAGCTCGCGTGCGTTTCGAACCTTGGAGCCATCATAGGGGCTCTCTTGGGGATTTCTTGGGGCCCTCTTGGGGCCCTCCTGGAGCCCTTTCCGTCCTCTTAGGGCCGTCTTGGAGCCCACTTGGGGCTCTTTTGGGGCGTTTGGGCTCTTTGGGGGGATCTGGGGGCCTTCTTGGGGCTCTTTTGGGATGCCTGCGAGGCCTCTTGGGGCCGTCTTGGACCCATTCGCAAAAAAAAGATGGGGGGGTCAATTCGGATCGCCCCTTCGGAGGCTCAAGAATGCCGTCTTGGGGCCCTCTTGGGCCGCTCTTAGGGCGCTCTTGGGCGCTATTGGGGCCGTCTTGGGACCCTCTTGGACCCCTCCTGAGGCTATCTCGGGCCGTCTCGGGGCCATCTCGAGGCCTCGAGAGCCCGTCGGAGGCGAACGGGCGAGACGGCAAACATACATGGAATTTTTAAAGTATTTGAAAGATTGTGGCCTCTATGGGGAGTCCTCGGAGGGCTCGGAGGGCACTCGAAACCGTCTTGGGGCCGTCTTGAGGCCTCTTGGATGCGCGTCGGAGGCTATATTGAGCCGTCTACCGCTATCTTGGGCCATCTCGGAGGCCATCTCGCATTCTTTGAAGCCCTCTTGGAGCCATCGTGGGCCGAAAAGGGCCCTCCGCCACATCGCGGGGGAGCCCGTCCAGATGCAGGGACGGGGGGGGTTAGCCCCTCGAACAGGGAGAGGAAGGAGGTCGGAAAAGGAAACGCCCTAGACCGCCTGCGCCCAGAGGGCCGGTGGGATTTATTCCCCACGCGTCGGGCCAGGCGCTCTCGCCATGGGCGGCTTCGCGGGCGACGGCTGCTTGAAACGGCCCCCGACAAAGATGGCGAAGGCGCTGTTGGACGCGGGGCAATTTGAAAGCACGTGCTGGGCGAGGTGGGGGGCCGCGAAACGCGTCGAAGGAGAGCCCATTGCCGTCGTCGGCCAGACGCGCGACCCTCGCGCGGTCGAGGGCGACGTCTGGCCCCACGTCAAGTTCTACGAGTTGTTCAACGTGCGTCGGCCCGCGTTCCATGAGAAGGCGACGCCGACGTGCGTCGCGGCCGTTTTCACGAGGGCGGCTTTCGTCGTCACTGCCAAGAAACGCATCAACTGGTGGCCCGCGGGGGCGGCGGGGGCCGACGCGCAGCGGAAGATTGTCGAGGGCGTGGCCGAGCATCTCGCAGCGGAGGGTGAGCGCTTGCACGGGGCGCCCAAGCAGGGCGACGCGACCCCAGCAGAGGATTGGCGGCGCCTCTTGCAGCGAGAGAGGGCGCCCACCGGCTCCGCCATGCAATCGGCCCAGGCGAAGCGCTCGGCCGACCGGCAGCACGCGCCCCCCATCCGCGTCAGAAGGGGGCACTTGTCGCCCGAGACCCGCGAGGTCAGGCGCCTTCTTGGGCCCGGCGGCCATTGCCTCGACCTGACTTCGTCGTCGCCCGCCAAGGCGGCGCCGTCGAGCACGCCGCTGGCGCAGGCCGTGGATCGCCCGCTCGAAGCGGGCCCTGCGGACCCCCCCGATGCGGTCCGACGGCGAGGAGGCGGAGGGCTCGGCGTTCCTTGGCGGCGCCGTGGACGATCGAGCGCCCCCGCGCCCAAGATGGCCGGGCGCGCGCTGAAGCGGCCGGGGGGGCCGCGGAACCCCGCGCGCTCCAATCGGCTACACGTAAGAGTGACCTTTCGCCAGAGTGACCTTTGGTGCGGGCCCATTGGGGCCCCCCGATCGCCGAGCGCGATGCGATAGAAGTGTCTTGCGCGCTCGTGTTTGACCCCCCCGCGGCCCCCCAAAAACTGCGCGCCAAAGGTCACTCTTGCCCGGGGTCGCTCTTACGTCTAGCCGATATAAGCACATGAGCATGCCGCATTTTAACGCAGTCTCTCACGGGCCTTTCCCCTTCGACAGAAACTTCGCAATGCTGTCCAACCTTTGGCTGTCGCCATTGTCGTCTCCAGGCGATCGTCCACTGCCGCGCTCGCGCCGCCGCTGTTTCGGTTCGAGGGGGTGGCGCAGCTGCCTGCGGGGCGCGCGCCAGCTGCGATCGCGGCAGCGGCGGGCATGGCACGCGCGCGCAGCAAGATAAAAAGAGCTTTTTAAAAGGGCGCTCGACACAGCGACTTTCGACGTGAGGGATGGGTTCCTCGACGTTGTCAAATGTGCGAAGATCGAGGACGTGGCTCCGTGCCAGAACGACCCCGCGATGCCGTTAATGATCATCGCGCGGCACGTCGGCGCAGTCCCCGACGAGCGCAGTTGCCGGGAATGCGGCGCCAAGTTCACGATGAAGGTGGAGTCTGCGACGTCTGACCGCTCGGCGCGCTGGCAGCGGCGGGGCCCTCGCCGCGACTGCGCTAGCAGCTGCGATGCATGTGGCGACGTCGAGATTTCCGCGGCGAAGGATACCTTGCTGGCTGATGCCGAGCCATCGAGATGGCTCTCGCTTTTCGACTGGGTGGTTATGCGGGCGCAGGAGTGCCCGCGCTTGGAGATCCCGCGCGAGCTCGGCAAGCAGTGCATAGCAGCGCAACATCGGGGGGCTTTGGATGGGGAAGTTCCTGGGCGCGGCTGCGTCGTACATTGTGGGCCAGATCTCCTCGCCGAGCTTGCGCGAGACTTTCAGGGGGCGGGCGCAGGCCAAGGGCAATGGGGGCGATGAAAGGACGGCTGCCAAAAAGAAACAGAATAGGTTCATCGCGCAGGCCGACGAGGTGTTCCTGAACAAATCAAAGGTCAGCCGCTTCGCGCCAGGCATCCGCCCTAAGGGGGGCGCAGCGTGGCTCTGTGGCGCGGCGGCGCAGGGCAGCCCTGAGAACTTCGTCTTCCGAGTCTCGGGGCGCCCGGGTGATGCGCTCGACGGGCGCCTCCGCGGCGCGCGGGAGACGGCGACGAATTTCGACGCGCAGGGCCTCCGCAAGGGCGCGGTCGTGGCAACGGATGGGTGGAAGGCGACCCTCGCGGTCATCAAGCGCATCAAGAACAGGGGTGGATGGTCAGACAAAGGTTTAAAGCGCGAGATCGTCGCCCACTCCCAGCGGGAGGTCAAGAGCCCGCGCGGTTTCACGATTTTCCGCAACGGTCCTCAAGGGGTGGCTCAAATATCGCATGGGCGGCCGTCTTCCGACTACTTCTGATCGGCGGAAGTGGGCCCGCTCGGTGACGGAGCCCCAGCGCAGGAAGGCCGTCGCGAAGGCGTGCTCCATCGACGGCGGCCACGCCTACTCTCTGCCGACGAAGACCTTGCTCTCCCACGCGGCGGAGGTCACGCAGGCTGGGGGGCTCTGACGCGGCGCCCCGGGGGCGCGCGCTGGGTCCGCGCGCGCATTTCAAGGGAACGGTGCAACCCATTTCTAGATTTGAAAAGCGGTCTCACCCCGCACCAAAATAAACCATCATCCAGTCATCAGCGCAACCGCCGTCGCATCATCCGCCCCAGCCTGAATGCTCAAAATCGGTGGGGCCGGAAAAAGAACCGAAACCCTTCCATTGTACTCGGGTGCGGAAAATGCGCAGCCCACGCATGGAGGACAAAGGGGGGGAGGGGCAGCGGGACCGATGGGCGACGCCACGCCCGGGGCGCCCCCAACCCCCAAGACCCAGGCCCCAACGAGCCAGGTCCAGCTGCGGCGACGAGATGCCACCAGCCAGCGACGACGGCCCACGGCTCGCGCCGCCAGCGCCCCCCCCGGGCGCGAACGTTCCCACTGGCGAGTATCGCGCGATTGCTCTGGTCGCCGCGACCGCCCCCGCGTGCTGCAACGGAGGGGTGGAAACTGCTCGACCTCGGCATCGAGCTTCGCCCTCGGGGGCCCGCGCTGCCCGGCGGGAGCGCCAGCGCGACCGTGGCAGGCAGCCCCAAAGCCCGCCGCAGCAGCGCCCGCTGCCGCCCACGGCGTTGCGGGCCCGCGGCAGGTGGCAGCCTGGCCCCTGAGCCCATGGCAGCGCGGCGTCCTGCGGTCGCTGGCGGCCGCTGCCCATCGTTGAGCAATCGACACCACCTGCCCACTGCTCTGCGATGGCGCTCCTCTGATGCTGCGTACGGGCGCCGTGAGCGCGCCCCGAGGTCGGTGGCGGCCGCGCCTCCCGAGGCCCGCCCCCCCCCCTTCCGACCGCTCGGCCGGCGCGCTGCGTTGCGCCAGCAGCCGCAGCGCGTTGGCGCCGCGGCCGGAGCGCCAGGAGTTTTCGCGCTGCCGCGCTGGCAGCTCTGCGGCCAGAGGCCCTGCCGCCCCCCCCATGAAGCAACTTTCGGCGCTCCTGCTCAGCAGGCCGGGGCCGCATGTCTGTTCCGCCGCGCGGCTGCGGCTGGCGCCTGCGCCAATTCTGGGCGCGGCATCTGCGGCCGGCGCTCTGCCTCCCCCTGCCCATTTTCCTGCTCCATTTTCCCCCTCCCCACCATCATTGCCATCCGCCTCTTCCCCCTGCTCCTCCTCCTCTCCTCGTCTCTTCCTCCCCTCCTCCCCCTTTTTCTTCCATCCCTCCTCCTCCTCCTCCTGCTGCTCCTCCTCCTCCTCCTCCTCCTCCTCCTTTCGATTTTCCTCTTCTCACTCATGTCCCTTGTCGTCGTCTTCATTTTCCTTCACCAGGTTTATAATTATTATGTGTCATAACACCTCCTCCTTCTCCTCCTCCTCCTCCTCCTCCTTCCTCCTCCTCCTCCTGCCTCTTCCTCCTCCTCCTCCTCGTCCTTCTCCTCGTCCTCCTCTCCTCCTCCTCCTCCTCCTCCTCCTCCTCCTCCTCCTCCTCCTCCTCCTCCTTTTCCTCCTCCTCCTCCTCCGCCTCCTTTCGATTCTCCTCATCTCACTCATGTCCCTCGTCGCCTTTGTTCTTTTTTTGTTTTTCTCTTACTCGGCTTGTACCTATTAGCTCCTCCTCCTCCTCCTCCACCTCCTCCTCCTCATTGTCCTCCTCCTTGTCCTCCTCCTTGTCCTCCTCCTCCTCCTCCTCCTCCCTCCTCCTCCTCCTGCCTCTTCCTGCCTCCTCCTTTTCCTCCTCCTCTCCTCGTCCTCCTCCTCCTCCTCCTCCTCCTCCTCCTCCTCCTCCTCCTCCTCCTCCTTCTCCTCCTCCTCCTCCTCCTGCACTCCTCCTCCTCCTCCTCCTCCTCGTCCTCCTCTACCTCCTCCTCCTCGTCCTCGTCCTCCTCCTCCTCCTCCTCCTCCTCCTCCTCCTCCTCCTCATCTTTCTCCGCCTGCCCGGACGACCGGCAAGGGAGGCGGTCGGTTTCCATTCAGGGCGGTATTTCTATTTTGTCCCGAGGACGTGGAGGAGGGCGGAAAAGGAGGGGGGTAAGATGAACAGTAGACGGGGGAAAAGAACGATGATGAGGGTACAGTTAACAAGAACCAGGAACAGGAGGAACATGACAAATAGGAGGAGGAGGACGACGACGACGAACAGGAGGAGGAAAACGCCGACGAACAGGAGCAGGAGGAGGAGGAGGAGGAGGAGGACCCCGAAAACGTGGAGGGAGAAGGAGAAGGCTTCCTGCCGGCCGTCAGGGGCCCTGCGGCTGTGCTGGGCACGCCGAAGACCGAGGCGCACGCGGCACTGGAGGCGGCCTCGTTTTTCTCGCCCTCCCGGGAGGATGCGCCCAGAGGATGCTCCGCAGTGGTGGCTCGCTCGCTCGCCCGTCCTCCCAGGAATGAGCGATAGCTGGGGAGCGATGAGAAGGGAAGAGTGCTCCTCCTTGCCCCCTCCCCTTCCCCATTCTTCTCGTCGGGAGGATAGAGGGGCGGGAGCAGGCAGGAGAATGGGGGAGGAGGGAAGGAGGAGGAGGAGGAGGAGGAGGAGGAGGAGGAGGAGGGGGAGGAGGAAGAGGAAGGGAGGGAGGAGGTGGAGGGGGGCAGGGAAGAGGGAGCATAACTCCCTCCTCTCTTCTCCTTCCGTGGCCCCTCATTCCTGCTTCATCCTACTCATCAGCTCTTCCTCCTCCCTCCTGCTTGCTCCTCCCACATCGCCCCTCTCGTCGTTCTTATCACTTCCTCTCTGCAGGCACTCCTGAAGAGGGTGACGATCGCTAAGAGGGATGTGGACGAGATCTTCAAGGCCCCTCGGTCGAGAAATGCTTGCAGTGGCGCGGTGCACCCCCGTCCCGAGGGGGCAGGACGGAGCAAGGAAGGGTGTGCAGGGACGCAGGAGTGGGCGTGAAGAAGGTAGGTCCTCCTCCTCCTCCGCCACCGCCCCATCCGCCTCTCGTCCTACGCCAGACTTCTGGTGGCCCCGAGACCTCCTAGAACCTCCCCTCCAAAAGTTGCCGCCTCTGCCCTCATGGTTATCTCTCCTCTTCTCCCTCTCTCCCTCCCTTCCGAAGCCTTCCTCCCTCCTCCCTTTTCCCTTCTTCTCTTCCTGCTCCCTGGCCCAAGTGGCGCAAATGGCGCGTGCAATTCGATTGTTCAGTGCTTCCATAGCTGCCGTCGGCTTCACCATGTAACCTGTAACTCGGCCGTTCTGTTCACCTGGAGTGCGCAACAAATAGCTGGGAGCCCGCATGCATGAGCAGGGTCTACGATGGGATCGCCGCCAGTGAAAAGAAACAGCCGCGAGGACATGACGAACGAGATTAGCAAAGGCGTGGTTGTCGAGGCATGTGCATGGATCCATGCATGAGAACTACGCCCGAAACAGGAAACGCACCACACTTAACCGCCAACTCAAAACGTGAGCGATATCTATCGAGGACGCCTACGGCGAATCACCGCCGCCCCCCGCCTTTTTGGAAGCGCCTGCGTGGCCGAAAGTAGGGTTTGGGCTTGGTCAAGCTATCGGGCCACGCGTTTCCCGAGTGGGGTTCGAAAGCCGTCGGGGAACACGGAGTCGGGAGAGCTATCGGACCAGGTGATTTCCGAGCTTTCGGGCCTCCTGGAGGACGTCTAGGAGGGGTCTTGGGCCGTCTTGGAGGCCTCTGGCGGGCCTTTTGGGCAGTCGAAGGCAATCTTGAGACAACCTGGGCCGTCTTGGGTGCATCTTTGGGCCATCTTCGCCGTCTTGGAGGCCGTCTTGGCCGTCTTGCAGGCATTTTGTAGCCCATGTTGGCCGTATTGGAGGACATCTTCGGCGTCTTCGGGGCCATCTTGGGCCGTCTTGGGCTCTTCTTGGGGCCCTCTTGGGGGCTTATTGGGCTATCATGGGGCCATCTTGGGGGCCTCTTGGGCGCTCTTGGGACGATGTTGGGGGCGTCTTGGGCCGTCTTGGGCCGTCGGAGAGCTGAACAGAAGAACATGTCAACATACTTCAAAAGGCAAAGACACATCAATGATTTTGGCCCTTTCGGGCCTTCCTGGAGGACGTCTTGGAGGTCTCTTGGGCCGCCTTGGGTGCATCTTCGGGCCATCTTAGCCGTCTTGAAGGCCATCTTGGGCGTCTTGGAGGCATCTTGGAGGCCATCTTGGCCGTATTGAAGACTATCTTGGGCTTCTTGGGGGCCTCTTGGGCCGTCTTGGAGTCCTCGTGGGGCCCTCTTGGGGGCCTCTTAGGCTGTCATGGGGCCATCTTGGAGGCCTCTTGGACGCTCTTGGGTCGATGTCGGGGCCAAGACGTCCTCCAGGAAGGCCCGACAGGGTTAAAGTATTGATTTTCTTATAGTTTTTGAAGGATTCTGACATTTTCTCTTCTTTTCAACTCTCCGACGGTCCAAGACGGCCCAAGCGGCCTTTTTGGCAGTCTCAGGCCATCTTGAGGCCATCTTGGGCCGTCTTGGGTGCATCTTGGGGCCATCTTGGCCGTCTTGGAGACCATCTAGGCAGTCTTGGAGGCATCTTGGAGTCCATCTTGGCAGTATTGGAGGCCATCTGGGGCTTCTTGGGGGCCGCTCGGGCCGCCTTGGGGCCGTCTTGGGGCCGTCTTGGGGGGCCCTCGGGCCGTCCTGGGGCCGTCTTGGAGACTTCTTGGGCACTCTTGGGGGAAGGTGTTTTTTGTGCGAGCTTGGAGGCATCCTGGACTCTCTTGGGCCGTCTTGGAGGCCATCTTGGACCATCTTGGGCGAACTTGGATGCCATTTTGGAGCCGTCTGGAGCCGAAAAAACCTTTGCAACCACCTGTTATGCACCCTTCAGGGTGGCCGGCGGGAACAGCGGAAGCCCCAGGGGGAGTCCTTTCGGAAAAAGAGCCAAAACCAAAACCAAAAGCGAAAGGATTCAGCACGCCGAGCACCCCTGTGGCAAGACCGGGGGCGGCGGATATAGTGGCCTTCGGCCAATTCCGCCACTTTGCCTCGGTTGTAGGCCAGAGGCCTCTTGGATGTCTGTTGGGGTTTCGTGGGGTGCCCCTTGGAAGCTTCTTGGGATGTTTCCTCCCTGAACGCAAGCTATCAAGTGGTAGCCAATTCGTGCCACTTGGGCCATATCGATTCCAGCGGGCGTCGATCGATCCATCGTGTCTGAGTTATGGGTTGAGGTGTTTCCCTCTTGGATGAGTATTGGGCGCCTTTGGAGGACTCTTGGGGGCCTTTTAGCGGCCTCCTGGAGGCCTCTTAGGGGCCTCTTTGGGGCATCTTGGGGGCCTCTTGGGGTTTCTAGGTCACTTCCCGGTGGCTCGGGTCCCCCCCCGCCGAAAAGCGGCACTCGGCGGCGCCAGGAAGCGGCTCAGTTCGCCGCCGCATCTTCCGCACAAGCATTTCGAACGGTGTCGCCCTTGAAGACGCAGGAAAACAAATGCAGTCCTTGAGTGGGAATTCAGTATTAGAGAAAACACGCCGGCAAGTGGCCCAAGTTCTTGCTCGAGCACGATGATCTTGCGAAGTGGTGTACTTCGCAAGGATTTTCGAGGCGTTACACGTGGAGTAGGCGAGTGCACAGCAAGCATGCGCGCGGTATTGGCGATGCAAGAGGCCACCTGTTGCAGCAACGAGCAATCACGCAAACATCGCATTTTGCCAATCTTGTCAAATATGATGTTCACCGAACAAGTCGATGTGTTGCGGGATCCGACCGCGCTGATGTGTTCTCGTGGAGCCGCGTTCTCAAAAAGGCACGTTGGAGACAAGAAGCAGCTAACGCTCAAAGAAAGGGGCCAAAGGCAAGGCTACCCCAAATCTGCAGACACGAAGTTGTTGCATGCGCGTGAAATGACGGATGCGTTTGCGAACCGCGACATCTTGAATGCGAAATCATCCATGTTCGGTTTCATCGAAGAAGTGGTTGCGGACTCTGTGGCAGAAGCGGGGGCATTCTAGTTCAAGGGAATTTGCGTTTAACTCCAGAGCACAATGGACGGCCCCGTCCAGTTACACGAGCATCGTGGGAGTGCAGAAGCGGCCTTCAGCAAGCAAGTCAGCAGACGTACATGGCGGGGTATACCCAACGCGCGCAGACGCGGCAGGCACACGAGGAGCGCGACAATATTTGTCGAGTTCCAGGTGCTGTGCAGCCGTGGGATGGAGTATGTTAAACAGGAACGGACCATCGCAGCGATGTAGGCATCTCCTGGCGAACATCTTCACGACAGACGAGGCATAGTATATATATGTGTATATATATATATGTATACATATATATGTATATATATATATATGTATATATATGTATATATATATATATATGTATATATGTGTATGTGTATGTGTATGTGTATGTGTATGTGTATGTATGTATGTATGTATCTATGTATGTATGCATGTATGAAAGAGCGCGTTCTGTGGTCGCTTGGAGGGGGGGGGGGAACCTGACCCCCCCCCCTCCGCTACTTCTCTTCTCTCCCTCTCCTCGGCTGGCGGCGGCGGTGGTGGGGGCGACGAGTTTCTTTTCTGGGCCGGCGACTGCGCCTGCGGCGGCGGGCGGCGGCGGCGGGGAGCGTCGACGAGGACGACGGTGGTGGAGGTGGTGGTGTGTTGTGGTGGTTGTGGTGGCGGTGGTGGTGGTGGCGGTGGTGGTGTATGTGGTGGTGGTGGTGTGGTGGTTCGTTGTGGTGTTGGTGGTGGTGGTTGGTTGGGTGTGGTGGTGGTGGTGGTGGTGGTGGTGTGGTGGTGGTGGTGGTGGTGGTTTGTGGTGGTGGTGGTGGTGGTGGTGGGTTGTGTTGGTGGTGGTATTAGTTTGGTGGTGTTGTGGTGGTGGTTTGTTGTTGTGGTGGTGGTGTTGGTGGGTTGTTGTGGTGGCGGTGGTTTGTGGAGCTGGTGCTGGTAGTGATGGTGGTGGCGGTGGTGCTGGTGGTGGTGTGGTGTTTTGTGGTGGTGGTGGTGGTGGGTTGTGCTGCTGGTAGTGGTGGTGGTAGTGGCGGTGGTGGTGGTGGCGTGGTAGATGGTGGTGGTGGTGGTTGTGGTGGTGGTTTTGTGTGGTGGTGGAGGTCATGGTGAGTTGTGGTGGTGGTGGTTGTGGTGGTGATGGTGGCTGTGGTGGTGGTGGTGGTGGTTGTGTGGTGGGTTGGTGGTGTGTGGTGGTGGTTGAGGCGGTGGTGGTGGTGGTGTGTGGTGGTGGTGGTGGTGGTAGTGGTGGTTATCGTCGCTGCGTCCCCGCCGTCGCTGGCGCCAGCGCCGGCGCTGCTGGCCGCCGCCAGCGCCAGCGCCGGCGCCAGGGGGGGGCGGCGCTAGGGGGGGCAGGAGGGGTTTGAACCCCCCCCCCTCGCCCTCTGGGCTGCCTCTGGTCATCGTCGCTGCGTCCCCGCCGTCGGCGCTGCTGGCGGCCGCCGGCGCCTGCGCCGAGGGGGGGGGGGGTCAAAACCACCCCCCCGCCCCTCTCCTTGGGAGGGGAGGTGGGGGGGGGGTTCGGGAGGGGGGGTTTGGGGGGGAGGGGAGCCCCCCTGGTTTTAACCGACGGCGCCGAGCGTTGGGAGGGAGGGCCCATCCCCCGGCTCGACACGCGCCGCCGAGTAAGAA